GGGGTATATATACATATATATATATATATATATGTGTGTGAGCCGAGCGACGAGCTCGATGATTGGAAAGAGGTTTGCGCGCGCACGCAGCGTATAAAAATCACGGAACTGCAGGCGACCACTGGATGACTGTGTGAAATCGCGCTTACAAAGGACGCCGCGGTAGATTGTGAAACCGATTCTAACCGCCTAATTTTACTTTCGTAAGCGAGCCTATCGACGTATACTTCAGACAAACGGTGTGGCCGACTAACACAGAAGAGGTGCCTCGATTCGATACTCGCGCGTTCGCTACGTACATGCCCCTTTCTAATATCGATGTGTTTCGATTGCTCCAAATGGATTCTGGAAAAGGTCTCTCGCGTACGAGATTAAACCGATCTTCACCCGCGAAAGCGTGTCGTAGGATACCTTAAGTATCCCGCGCATCTCGGGGGTCTTGATTAGTTTCGAGAATTCTCATGCGAGAATAGCTCCCGAGTTAAGATTAAAAATGATCATTGATATTTCATAGATTTGGCGCGTTCAGAAGTGTGTGGAATTACGCCACCGCGTAACGTAACGATTCGTCATTTTGTTATTTAGCTTCGCGGCTCAGCTGATTGTGCATTTCGCTCTCTTACGTGTGAGCACGCTGCCGGCAATCAGCTGACGCTGACACGTTGATTACCGGTAATAAGTCGTAACTATTACACGCAGATTACTTGATCCTTTGGCTTAATGCAAATGCAGATGGTTACTACCATTACCATATCTAGGGAGAATCATTAGAATTAATATTCACATCCGAAGAGTAAACTGTAAACTTGTCGCAACGTCAAAAATCACATACTTGACATTTTCGTGCTTGGAATTTCCCATCGCAATTGTATCGCTCATTAAATTATAATAATTATAATGTACATATAGTACCATAGTTATATTATTGATCTTTTAATTATTATTTTCAAATATAACAAACTTCGACGCGAGAGAATGAGCACGTCAACGTCGACATATCGTCTGTAGTTTCCTGTTTTTTTTTTTTTTTTTCTTTTTTATTAATAGGAGTTAATTTGAGACGTGGATTTATATGTACGAGATTCGCGCGTCGCATCAATCGTGCTGCGGTCATCACGAGTTCCTCGCGAGCAGGGTGAAATCTGATAGATAATTACCGCTTTCATTTTTATTAGATTCAACACGTTGAATGCCGTGACGATGATCGGCGGCCGGCACTATGATATTACCGTGCCTCATTAAGTTACGTGTAAAGTATAATTAATTGCGTTTGAAAAATCGTCAGCACGGCCAATAGAGAGTCGACGAAACGCGGCAAAAAAGATCTACGCGTCTCGAATTACATTTATTTATTTATCGTACCTTTGGTCGACCGATTAACAATTAACTTATAATTCATACAAGTCAAATAATCGCTTCATCACTATCACTAATCAGGAATATTCGTACTTATTCGTACTCTTTCATTTAATCCGCGGTCAGGAAATCCCTCGTCAACCAATGGCTGTACAGATAAATAATAAGAACGCTATGGAAAGACGCGTAGTAAATAAATCTTATGTTACACGATACAGTGAATACTAATGATTAATCAAGTGTTGCATCACATAGTGCGAAATATCAGTGGTACAACACAGTTAAACACGTCGAAGGATGTAAAAATATGGTCTCAGGTGAGAGCGCCTCGGCGTGCTGAAGGTCTAATTTTCAAAACAATAACAAACGTGCGCGGGTACGTCGTGCTTTTGTCCCGCGACCACAGAACAGTCTTCGTCTGACGCGAGAGTAAACACGTCGTGCCGCGGCGCGCGCGCGCCTACTGCTTCTGATTGTTCTAAATTGATTAGAGCGCGCGTGTGTGAGAACAACGACGATCGTTCGCGAGCGCGATCGTTATGCGCTGAAGTCATCGTAAGCAGTAATGCTGCTCTCTTGAAATTTAAAGGGTAATTGCCGCATTTTGTCATCACCAGATTTTTTAACGAGGAATACGGACGATTGTTCTTTGTTGTATTCTCTTGAAACTTAATTTAATCTGATTTAACTTCCACACTACTGGATATCTCCTTATTTTCAATTCTTCGAAATCAAGCGTAACCTTTGTATTGCTGTAACTAATAAGGAAAATTATTCTCTGTTGCAGATATCGAGTCGAGCTTGTCTGCGAAGGCAGCTGCAATTCCGATAGGTGGAAATGCGGCACCGAAGGATCCGGTTCGGGCCGAGTCGGCTTGAAGGTAAATTTCAAACAGACTCTTTATATCTTTTTCGCTTGACTCTTTGCGGTCGACAGCTAAGAGATAATTTCTTATTAAAAGTGATCCGAGAATAATTTTTGCATAATAATCGCAGTAGATTAATCTACTCTGCTTACTCACTTGTTCACCAAATCGGACTGTATCGGACTGATGAATTATTATTTTTTTGCTACAGATTATAGCAAGCAGCATAGTGGCCGACTTTTGCGATATTTTGGCAAGTGAGAAAAATGAACACGATTATTTAAGGTAATGGGATTTAAGTAACGGTATATTAAACTTTCAAATCAATGCGATTTACATTGCTAAGTTATTGCAAGTTGGTTTGCGCATGTGTTGTTATATAAAATATACCGCTCCAGCCAATTAAAGACCTTTGTAATTAATCACAGATATTTCTTCAAATGTTTGTATTGTCTAGCAGATATTTGAATAGTGTTGAACTTTTCATACAAATATATCTAACACAATTTTTACTAACTCATTTAAATACTTATTTAAATGTAATGTTTCATTCATTCACTCTTATATATTTAGCTCAAGCTGTAAAATTAATTAACAAAATTGTTGAGTCCGATGATTGTTTTGAGCGATATATTTTCTATTAGGCGCCAGTACGCCAAATATGCATTATATTGCGCCCATTTGCGCATTAGATTTACGCCAATGTTTATGAAACACGCGATTACTTACGTTAATCTCTCGCAATCATTTGTTGTTACCGAAATGTTGCATACGTGTCAGAAGAGTTAGAAATTTAGGTAAATTAAATTTGTCGCGCGAAATATCACGTTAGCGATTTAACATAGCGGTAACACGCGTTACTGTCGAAAGAACAGTCGGAAATATACAAGCCAAGTTTTTTTTCTGTTTTGTGTGTCACAATTAAGGGGAAATTTACGCTATTTCCAGTTTCTCGCGTGCAACCTTGACAGTTTTCGCGGTCGTTGTGTTCGATTTGCGATTCTTTTACACGCGAGTCGCGAGTAGCTACCCGCGAATCGGAATAAGAAATCTACCGCAAGTCTCACGAATGCTGATTTAACTCTGAGATGTCAGAATCATTCGTACCGCGTGTTTGATATTTGTTAAACATATTTGTACATGTCGACTTTATCTCGTTAGTCGCGAATTCGTAAGTTTCATATCGAAATAAAACACTTGAGCGATGCCGCCGAAATATTCGGCGGCAATGAATCACCACGTTAAAATGCAAAAATTAATCGCGTCACGAGTGTAAAGTGCAATCAATGTGGGATGATGCGAAGAAGAGAACATGCCGCGGTCGATGGATCTTGCTGAACGTGGGTGGACTTCGAGAGCTATCGTCGCGGAATGGTGAGTGATGAATCTCAACACTCACAGAGTGTCATTCATAGTAGTTCATGCATGATTTCAAATCGCATTGATTTCCATCGAGAGGAGTTGCGGTTGACACGTTAATCGCTATGGTTTTCGGTGATCGGCACAATGTTGCTGTGTCCCGCGAATTTACGCATAAAGAGTAATTAATTGCATAAACAAATTAAATATATATGTAAATGATAGCCAACGAATAGCTAACGAATCAGGAAATGTACCTATTTAGTTTAGTTATTCAGGAAATGTACCTATTTAGTTTAGTTATTCAGAGTTCAATTGAAAAACTTTGGGACAAATCGTGAAAATCAGCGTGGCAATTGACGTGAACTCGATCAAGCTCGAAAATATTTATACTTGTGCATTACATTGTGTCTACATATTTATGTCCTGTTTTAATTCCTTATATAAATGCATTGCGTTAAAAATCTACATTTATATATATATATATATATATATTGTGTCTAAATTTATATGTATTGTGTCGAACTCTCGCCGTTCTCTTCGGCTTATTAAAGTGTCGACGAAGACAATATTCTTAAGATTGAGTCCGGCCTGAAAACCGGTAACGGAGGCGCATGACTCTCGAGATATTTACTCTGGTTTTGGCCAACGATCCTCGCGTTTAACCACGTAAACAACGCCTTTGTTGCCAGCCGCGATTTCCATTTACGGATTCGACACGCGCCGGCACAAAGGAACGCGCCGCCATGCTTCCGAGACGGGGGATCGTGATGAGAAGCTTTCTATCCGATATTCACAATGTAACGCGAGCATCGAGAGGACGATCGATCGTTCATGGTCCCACCTTTGTCTCTTTAGAGTCTCAGACTTTTTAACGGTTATTCAAAGTTTTTATATGCAGCCTCATCATGTAGTCAATCGCGCTGAACTGGGGCGAAAAATACTTCTATATAGTGTAATTATCTTTCAATAAAAATCCCTTCAGAATTTTAATAAGAAACTGCGCGCGTCGAAAAAGTCGAGCAATATAAATTCGTGGAAATTTTCCTTGATTAACCTTCGGCCGATATTCCTTGAGGTGCAAGAAAATATTTCTTCTAACAAGCGCATATTATCTTAAAATATGCGCACACACACACACACACACACACACACACACACACACATACTAATTTTTCTTGAAATTTTAAATAAATAATTTAGTTAGAAAAACTGAAAACATTATTCGCATATTTTGTCTATGCTACATTAGTTACGGACTAAACCCGAACGAATTTTTAGACACATAAGAAACTACCGTCGTAATCGCGATTGTTTACATCCCGCCGGGTAGCGATCGCTAAATTAATCATCGCTCGCATATGCCGTGTCGCGCGTCTCATTAAAAAATTAGTAACGCATCTCCCGCGTTTCGCTTACCTCCTGTTTTGATACCACGTTTTCACTTGTGTGTCCGTCAGCTGCAGTTTCGCCGCTAGCTCCATTCTGTCCTGAACGCTCAGGTACTTTTGCCGCTCGAAGCTCTTCTCGAGGGTCTGAAGCTGGTGATCCGTGAAAGCAGTGCGCGCTTTACGCTGCTTCTTACTTTGCGCGGAACCCAGGGAACTCGAGGACGAGCTTTTAGGGTCGTCCTCTTTGCCACCTGAAATTGCAAAATTGCCGATTGAACGTCCCCTTGACGCAACAAATTCTTCATTCCGTCGCGTAAATCAACGCGATAAGCCTGCATCGAAGAAAGAAACAGCGATTCTTATTTATCAAGTAGCAATTATCTATTATTTTAACAGATTTACTCTAATAAATGACAAAAGTCACTGTAATTGCGCGTAATTTCAAACAAATTCGTTCTCGAAGAAATATCAGTCCAAAATTTATTCTCCAAGAGATAACGTCGCAGAGGGTTTTTACACACAAATTATAACATGAAGGATTTCGGGGTGTCCCATGGGTGCCGCTTCGTGGCATCCGTATATCACGCGACGCTGGTGCTCGCACTTTGCCAAAAGGATCGCTATAAAGAGTCGCCGGTCTATCATCGGGCCCAGGGACTGCCAAGTACCGGGGGGGGGGGGGCGGCTTTTGTTTTCGCGGAGGGTGGAATCGATGCCGTGCGTGTAGGTTATACGCGGTGGTCGTTTTTGCCGTTGCCTGCATGGCGATTGCAGCCGCCTCTCTATCGGCGAAAGAGACAGAGAGAGAGGGAGAGAGAGCGAGAGACAGACAGACAGAGAGAGAGAGAGAGAGAGAGAGAGAGAGAGAGAGAGAGAGAGAGAGAGAGGGAGAGAGATAGGGATCCTTTTGTTCTCAGTTCGACTCTCTGCGCGCAGCCGAGAGCCGATTGGCTGGTACCGCGGATTGGACCACGCAGCCGCGTCGAGACGCCGCAAATTATCCCCCCGGTACGTCGCCGTATCCGGGGAGAGATAGGGAAAGAGAGGGTGGGATTCCCCGAGGAAACCGATTACACCCGATACAAGTCACGCTCACACGCGGCACACAATCGCACTGCCCGTGTGCCCATTTTATCTCCCGCGAACCTTGTTACATCGTCGTCGTCCTCGTCGTTCTTATTTCGCTTTCTCTCTTTCCTCCTTCCCCCCCCTCTCTCTCTCTCTCTCTCTCTCTCTCTGTCACGCTCTCGCTACGGAGGAGACAATGCGCCGACGACAGGCAGATGATATTCTATTTTACGCTTCGTCTTGACAAAGCGTAAAATCGCGGCCGATTATTAGAAAGGAAAGGTGAACGGTGCCGGTAATGCAGCGTGAAGAGAGGAGCAGGAGGCGCGATGCTTTGGACGCTGTCCAAAATTTCGGAGCTCCGATGGGGCGAGCGCGCATATTTGCTGTGTGTGTGTGTGTGTGTGTGAGACGAAATAACCGTGTATGCCTGTGAGTGAGCGTGATCCACGCGAGAGTCGCCCGTCGCGTACGATTCGTATCGATTCGTTAAAGAGCCACAATTTTCACATTCCAATGTACACATTCGGAGTAGATTTCTCTTCCTTCCCCTTCCTTTTCCTCTCGAGACACGGTGGAACCCTCCGCTTCGCGTCGCGTCGCACAGACGACGTTCTCGACCCTCCTCGAATTATACCGCAGCGGGGAGGGTGTGTCTTGTTGCGAGTAAATCGAGCAACCTCTCGAGAAGGCTCGATCAGAAAACCATCGAGACCTAACCCCCGAAGGGACTGGAAGCCGCCCGTGCAGGCTCCTGAAAGTATCTAAAGGCCCGTTGTCGCGAGCTCATCGATTGGAACGGTCGTGGATGGCGCGGGAGAGAAGCATCCTGTAGGAATAGGTGGGAGAAGCGGGGTGGGATGATGCAGCCAGGAATAACACAGAGTACGGCGGAAGGATGGCGGCGAGAATGGGGGAGAGAACGGGAGAGACGGCAGATAGAGAGAAAAGAGCAAGAGAGAAAGCGAGAGAGAGAGGGGAGGAGGAGAGATGTCGGAGAGATAGAAAGCTAGTGGATTGAGTTAACCCGGACGAAAGCGCGGCTCTTAGCCCCCGTTTGATCGGCCAGATTCGCTCGAACGGCTCCAGAACCTACCGCGCCATGTTGGCTAACGTAGCGCGCGCGCCCGATCCCCCTCAGGATACGCGCTCGGGACAAGGATTCGCGTTCTGGCTACGCTGCATCGGGGCACCGTCCTCTCGACTCGACTCGACTCGAACTCAACTCCCGAGACTCGTTCGCCCGAGATAGAGAAAAAGGGGTGGTCGCGCGAGAGGGTGGCGAGACGTGAGGGCTGGCGGCAGCGGAACGCCGGAGAAACGGAGGTTGGAAAACTAAATTTACTATGTGATACACTTAGAGCCCGGGTCCCAACCGACGTCGGAGTTCTCCTTTTGAGACACTTCCAAGACGTTAGGCGGAACTTTTCCACCCCTGGCTGCCCGCCTACCCTCTCTCCGTCTCTTCTCCCTTTCTCCCTCCACCCCCCCTCTCTCTCTCTCTCTCTCTATCTATCTATCTATCTCTTTCTCTCTCCCTTTGCGCGGTAACTCAAGAACCATCGCGAAATATCCAGCCCTCTTTTCCCCGGCAGTGGATGGATATGTTTTTCCTGGCCGCGCGCGCTGTTCGTCTGCGAGGCACGTAGACCTGGGCTCGAGGCTTATCTGTGTTCGTCTCGTCTTTACGAGCGTGTTCATGCGCCACTCTTTACTCCGCGTTTTCGCTTTGATGCGAAACGCCGACGCCCGGCCGACGCGATCGGCTTTGCGCAAAGTGGTTTCCATCCCGACGCGACGTCGCGATCCGCGCGAGATCGTGCGCTCCCTGCATCTCGATCTCTTCCGTGCTCTGTGCTCAACAAACATATATCGTGGCACAAAATTGAAACGTGGCCGTCGAGACGTGATCGACTCGTTAGACTCGGCTGATCGGTTAAACGCGGTGTGAAACACGCGCCTTAATATTATATTGTGTTATCGCGCATTATCTCGCGCTAGCAGGGAAATTGCAAAAAATTGCTTCACAAATCACATTATTCTCATAATTAAGTTATTTATATATTGGATATCATAATTATGTCTTCTAATTGGTTTATGTGTTTTCTGTATAGCGTTACCGGCGACAAGTTCCGCGGTCTGACAATTTCCTCTATCGTAAAAAGAATCGATATTTTTTCTCGCCCGCGACAATAATTCAACGTTGCAAATTCCACGCGTTATTCATTACGCCGTAAAAGCCATCTAATTACGGATATTTGCGATATTACCCACTTCCATCAATATAATTATGCGGCAGGCGTATTGCGCATCGAAGCGGGCTCGTCAGATAAATTTTCTTCGCGGATATAATGTGCGCGCCTCATCGCTCACGACGATGCGTATCGTTCATCATATAAGACAATCGCTCGATTCGCGCGCTCATATCGGTCATAAAAAATGTTCAAACGTCAAAACGAAGCGGATCTCCTTTTCTTTATCGCGCGTCAGACGTTCGTAAAGCTCGCTCGAGACATTCCGAAGATGTAACCGAAAATTCGTCTAGTCGCTGAAGTAAGCCCAACCACTTTCCTCTTTTGAGAGAAAGAGGAAAGGGGGAGAGAGGGGGAAAGAGCAATTTATCTTTATCTCTCCATTTTTCGTCGCGACGACACGCGGTGTCACGCTGCGGCTTTTTGCGGGTGTAGTAATTAGGAAGATGTTCATCTCCATTTTCCACAGCGAGAAACTCGGGTTCGCACGCCGGGTCTGATGTAATAATAGCTTTCGATTTACGCGTGTTCAAGCAGAGCAAGAACCAGTTTGTTTTCTTTTTCGTTTTCAGTCGCGCGCTTTTTACTACGGCATTGTTCCCGCGAGGCGTGCGGCAGAGGCTCCGCGTAAATTAACGCCAACGCTCGCTCGAGTATTCGCTTTCCATAAGTCACGACGGTAAACGTTATTTCCACTGTCAGCCGGCGGAATGTATTTTACAGAGGTCCTCGGAAACATGGCGCCGTAACGGATGCGGCGCGTATACGCGCCAGTGAAAATCATGACGTGTTCCCAAGTCGTATTACGCGAAAGAGAAAGAGCAAGGGGGAAGGAGAGAGAGAGAGAGAGAGAGAGAGAGAGAGAGAAAAAGGGAGGAAACGAGGGGGACTTGCGTGCTACGGGCATTGTCGCGGCACAATGTATGGCGCATAAAAGTAAGATTAACAGGATGTTTATCGAGCAATTATGCGCCGCTGCAATTAGTGCCAGCATGTTGCCGTCGTCGTCGTCGTCGTCGTCGTCGTTGTCGTCCACGTCGCGGTCAAACCGTTCACATCGTCATTACGGTGGTTTCGCGCGCGAGTTGTGATTGCGACTTACGAGCGAGAGATGCATACATCTCGATTGATTAAATCTCTGTGCCAAGTCGCAAGCGGGATCTCTTTGTCTCTCTCTCTCTCTCTCTCTCTCTTAGTGTTTCGCTGTTTATTCCTTATCTTATACATTTTAAAGTCGAGCGACGCATAAATATTCACCTCTTGCATCTTGCGATGGATTCCTACCGCCTTTTATCTCCACCGAGCCCGCTTTGATTCGCCTCGGCGCTCTTCTCTGTTTCTCTCTCCTTTTTATCGCCGCGCTTTATAGCCAGGCGAATATTCGAGCGATTGTCAATACGAGTTACGTCCGCGCGAACGAGCCGACGTGGATACGCGCGGGAATTATATCGCGCGGACACGTAGCGTGTAAGTGCCGACCGGTGAATTCCCCGGCAATCGTGCTCTCTTCGGCGTCATTATTGGGCCAAGGACTGCTCGTGGAACACTGGCGGGCCCCGGGACGCACCAGCGTGTGCGAGATGCCAAGAGCGCAGCGTCAATGGCAGTTGCAAGTCCGGCGGAGTCAGCCGGACGCATCGTAAAAATGGGAATAATAAAGCTTTCGCAAAGTGTCAGCTCGCACTTTACGATCCCCGTAGACGAGGACAGGCTGGCAAGCGAGGGAGGAAGCGACCGAGGAGACGGGAAAGCTAAAGTAGCCATTGTGTCGCGCTTTTATTTGTTTATTGCTTGCCTTCGCGCGGGGTGTGTCCCGCGTAAGTCGCGGCTGCTGGGAGGAAGCAGCGCGCGGGTCTGCCTTCAGGAGTTCCCACAATCCGTTGTTAAAGAACGCATGTTAAATACGCATAATGATCGGTGCGAGCGATGAT